TTCTTTATGTGCATTTCCGGCCAGTTTTCGATCAAAGGGCTTTTCCCTTGAGATTGCAAAGAGTTCTAAAGAAACCTACTATAAGTTATGCATGTACAAATTTAGTCGTTTCACATGTCCTTGGTCCCTGTCAAAATTCCTTTATTTTCTCTCACGCAAACCTGTCTCACGTCATGTGTGCTTGATTATCGAAAGTGTAATTAAAATGATCCTCTTATGAAAAGTAACGTGTAAATAATTGAAAACAGTGTTTTCTTAATGTAACAATGTCATTCTACGATGTTTTTTGATAAAACAGTGGTGCTTGCATAGCACAAATATATTCTTGTTCTCTTTATTACATGGAAATGCACTTTTTCAGCAGAGAGTAACTGAGAGCTTCTCAAACTGTGCAGGATATTGCATTGTGAAAACTTTTGCCCAATCTGAATATAAACTTCTCAGAGGCCTAAATCACTTAGGAATTCTTAAACTTTTTTCCTATATGATTAATCATTTTTCGGAAGCATTTACATTTTCACAAATTAATAGAACATGGCAATAGCTGAGTTAAAGCGCAATATTCAAATAGAAACTGCTCACTCTGTTATTCTCCTACGTGCAGTTGAGCAATGTGTCACGACGTCAACCACGCACGTTAGTTAAAGAGCGTCTATAATTCAACCTCTATTTGGAATTAATACTGAATAGTGTGATCGAGAACTGCGGAAGTTTTTTTCAACGTTAAGTCGAGGTAATCAGTGGAGTACAGTTTTTGACCTAAATTATGAAACGTGTTGAAATTCATGAATGATTGCCAATCACTTACAAACCGACATCATTTCATGAGTTCGATTTCGATGTCAATTAAGTGCAAGTATGAAAGAATTAAAAAATTAAAAGAAATATTAAAGGCAGTGTTGCCTTGTTTAGAAATACCGATTTATTTTGAAAAGTACACTATCCCAAAAAAGTCATAAATGGCCCTAATTAAGAAAAGTTCGTTTACAGATGCATAGAATGTATTCTCATATCAAAAACGTAGTAAGTATGAAGGAAGACAAAAAATAGTGCCGTTTACAGCTAAATGACTTTTAATAAGCAGTGTAATTTCATAGATGACGGTTTGTCAACTGTCTACGTTCTGGGTGTAGATTCCAAAACAGTTTCCCAGTGAATCCAGTTGTTCTGAATCTCGTCGAAGTAAATAAGATGGAGTTCAACAAGCGAAGCTGAATTTTGCTTGATTTCACCAATGGGGACGTCGTAGGATCAAACATTTTCATAAGGTGACATGCCATGAGGCCGGTCCGTGCTTATAAATTTGAATAGAACTGACAAGTGTGATCGTAAACATACCTAGAACCTTTCATTCGCTAAATTAATTGACAATTTTCGTTCATTTTGGATTACGTTTAGTTCCAGATCGGCCTCGAAATCTTGCTGAATTCTTCATGATTTTCAGTGTCTTCACCCGATCGCCCATAGGGATGGATTCTGAATTACCTGTCTGTTGAGAACTTTAAAGTAAGATTGTGCTGGAAGGCATTTACCGAATTAATGAATGGTCAGGCGCTTTTCTTCACGAAGTTGGTCGTTTGGGTCACATTTTAAAACTCATTCAAACATAAAACTTTATTTTCGAGAAAAATGTCTGTCCACGATGGAAGTCAGTACCAAATGTGCGTTTCATCAATAAAAAAACTTTCCCAAATATGTTTCCATTTTAAGAAGTGTTTTTTTACTGCACTCTGTTGACAGATCTGTGTGTACTTTGCATTTTTGCACGGTGAGGCCAATTAAAAATTTGACAATTTTGGCCGTTTCCTTCGCGTTCTTTAGAAATACTAATATTCTTCTACTGTGAACCTAAGAACATGCCTTTCTCTATACACTAAGGCCCTTTTTATTGTTTTTGCCCGCTTTAAATCTCCGTTCTTCGATTATGAATGCAAGGGAGAGCGCCCATACAAATACTGATATTTTGATGAAACTTAAAATGTTTTGCTCGTTCTGTTTCAGAAAAAAGTATTCACAGAAGCTAAAATACTGGAAAAGTAGTGTGTCGTTTGGTTAATCTGGAAATGACCATTCCGTGGTGGTCATCTATGTGACATCATGTAGAATTCTCCAAACGGCAAAACCATTTCAGGCCACTTAAACGATGGAATATCTGTCTGCGTTATCATTGCACGTTAGCGCACAAATGCGCACAAATAAAGGAATTAATTAAACCCCTGGTTTTCTTAAAATAACCTTTTTATTCGCAGTTTGATTACCATGGTCAACATCGGTCAAGAAATAAATTTTCTGGTCCGGTTAAATCTGTTTATTAAAACTCTCGAGTGTAAATTACAATCTTTACAATGAAAAAGTCGCTGAGATGCGTAAGTGGAGTCTAGGACATGTATTAGCATAGGAAACTGCACGCATATATTCCAACGTCTATTTTCGCAAAAATTACTGACACTTTCTCCTTATAATTACGTGAACACAATTTCTGAACAAGAAAAGGTCATTTCATTGAGGATGTGGGTAAGCGAACAAAATGTGCCACTTTAAAGGCGTTCAGAAATTCACTCATCAGTTTCCGTTATCACATTTCATGAGATAGGTCACGTACTGTATGTGAATGTTAGCTGATGCCTGTCAAGAATGTTTATTTTAATGGAGTCCACAAACCAAGATGTTTCCTGTTTGGCCTGCGTTGTAGACAATATGGTTAGAAAAATACCAGCCGAACCATGCGTCTAAAGTACCCAAAATAGTATTTTTATAATGTGTGCATTTTGGCTCCATAAATGGAAGTTATCTTGCACTTACGTATTTTCTTACCTTAAAGGAAAGTACCATACATATGCCTGAGCCTTTTACTTGTCATAAAGGCGGAAAGATTATGTTCACAATCGTCAAATCGATATTCAGTTGACGCTTGAGGGAAACGAAAATCATCTGTAAAAAGCATTTATTGCTTGTAATCGCAAAGTGTGTAACTCCTAAGGACACCAATTTACACTTTTGCAGATTGCTAGCCGCCGTCAGAATAGCTTCTATGTGCAAATAGCCAACCATGAGTGTTTTAAAGAGCATCTGACTTGATAAATTCCGATACGCTGAGTCCCTTTAACTTTGACCTACCCAAAATCAAAGTCGATGAAAAGATCGTTCTGCTATCGTAAGATTAAAAAAGCCCTGACATATCCGACATCCCCCAGTAGCAATGCTTACTGGGATCTCTGGTTTGCTACTTTCTTTAGAAGTTAAACTTCCTCGGACAAACTATAAATGGGACAACACTATTAAAATCCCCACGCTAAAGATCACAAATAATATATGTTTTGTGAAGGCACATTGAATATACATGAACATCGGAGGCTGGCATGTTCAAAAGCATATACTTTTCAAACACTGGCAAAACCTAATCAATTTTATTGATCTCCAAATGGTTTTGAACCTCATCGATTTCGATAAAGACTGCCAAATTGGTCATATTGCAAGTGTGATGGCAGTCCAACCATTAACTGCCGAGACTTTTCGAAAATTGCTATTAGCACAGTTCCATCTCCTGGGAAGTTCATTTTACTTAAATTAGGTGACTTAACCCAAACAAGTGTCTTGATTTATCGCTTGCATGTGTTGTTACTGTTTTAGTTTATTGAATTCATTGAGAGAAAAGAGTCTGCTGTTGAAAGAAATCTTTTTACACCCGTTATATTTAAGGAAAATTGGACAATTTTCCAAAAAACCGGACATAATTCGGCAAACAAACCTTTCTGAATATCAAGGGCTACGCTCGCTCTATTGCATGTTTAGCCACTAAAAAGCTTCAATACGAAAGGAAATGTCTCCATTAAGTCCATTCCAGGGGTCGAAAATTAAACTTCTAGCAAAGAAAAATTGGGCTAATTTAGGTATTTGAAGTTGCATTGTTGTCAAGAATCTGGGGGTTAATTCATCCCTTAACATTCTGGTTTGTAAATCAGTAGCGATTGTTTTGTTTAATAAAGTGGTAAGCTTGTCTTACAGTGTTTGCTTGGGGTAAGATTAACCACGATTTTATTCCTCTTTCACTAAGAAGTCTCATTTGTGTTCTTCGAGATTATGCACTTTGGGCATCTGTTGAGTTCTCTATGAACAGAATTAGAAAAAAATGGGAAATGTAAAATCCAAAAGCTGAGAATTTATAAGAAGACGTCTATGGATAAGCAGTATGTTAGAGTTTTTTATTTCCTAAAAAAATTATACTGATAACAGGTTCACATCCAAGCATAGCATTTATTATTGTGATAAGGTCGTTTTTTTAAAAGTCCCCGCAGTCGGCTCATTTGTTAATTGAATAGTTGTGCTTAATCGCCAAGTGCCGTAAGTTTAGCTAGAAAATTCCTCTAAAGCAAAACTTGCCTAACTTGTGTCTCTCAACGTCCAAAAACCGACCGTTCTCAAAAAGAAGGCACTTTGATGTAATCTTTCCATGTAAGAATTATCTAAAAATTGCGAACAATCCTACAGTGAATCCCAACAGCACTATTAACCTGTTTTGATGGGTACTTGAATCAAAATGTTTTAACTAACTTCTTACTGTGCTTTACCAGCCAGATTTGGTATTAGAACACAATCTTTCTGCTTTTAGGATGAGTGCCACTACTGACACCTTGAGATATAGCTGCTCATAAGTTTTTTCCATAAGCAAATGCATTCACTAAAAACCGCAATCAAACGTTTTACAGGGCATTCTGATATCTGGCAAGACCACATGCTTGTTGTGCGAAATTAATGCTATCACCAGACGACAAGTTTTCCTAGCATGCTGCACAAAGGTCATGCAGAATTTCCATGTTAAGCACGTGGCTGTCTGACATAAGAAATTCCTTTGGGCCCATTGGTAAGCAGTAGATTTTACTGGGCACCGCCAAGATATATAAAGCATCTTACTGCACTCCACGATACGCTGACCAGACCAAGAGCGAATTGGAGGCCAAACTATGAACACCTTTGTGACCATGTACTTGACATTCGTACCGATGCTTTGGATGACCTGGGGGCAGCGAACAGGCACACAAAACCGTACGCTGAGACAATTTTTTTTCCGTTTCGAAAATAAATGAAATAAGTCGACATGTGCGTTTTAAAAATTAAGCAATTAATATTGAAAATTCGCTAACAAAGAGTTAGGAAACACTAGCAGGACAGTTTACTCTATCGGATGGTGTCTGAACTTGTCACATTGACTTGACGACTTAAAACTTGTTATTTTCCATGGATTACGCATTGCTTTAAAAATGGTAAAAAGTTTAGCCTGTGGTAAGCAATGTCATGTTTACACAACTCGACCAATCATGAAATGACTAATTAACGAAGACCCCAAACCACCTTTTTATACGTCTAAAAGTGATATTTAAAAAGCCTTGTCCGTTATTATTCAGACAAAGAGCATGCCGGTTAGATTATTTGTCAAATATTTTTGGAGACAGAGTTCACAGTTTTAACTGCCTTTGTACATATTTATCTCCGCGGTTGTAACAAAAAGAAGTATTAGAAGCCTTGCCGAACAACAAATTAACGTTTTAAAACATATAACTACTGTATTTGTAGCTTTTTTCCTAATAAATGAAGGACAGATTGATAGGGTGCTTGGACAGAAATTTGTTGTAAACTGTACATCCTTTAAAAATGTGAACAGAGCACCCTTATTTGTGACTTTTAGATCGGTTAGTGTGCGAACACATGACAACAGAACCTATCGTGAACACGTTCCAATGGCTGCTTGCACATCGTCTCCGATTTAAAGAGTCCGTCCTACTACCGGACTGTGTCAGCGCAGCATACGGTCGTCTGATGACCTTTTTTCTGAGTGATCCGATCCGCTGTGAGAGGGCAGTCACTATGTTGGATGGAAATTTTAGTATGTACCAGTGTGCGGCGGACATACTCGCCTCCGTGCAAACATCCTACGTTCTCGTGAGGCCGCAACCACCACGCAGTGTCAGAATTCCTGCACGCTCTCAAGCCAAACGCATTCATGCCAACTTCATATTAATTCACCAAAAACAGGAAAGTCTACAAAAAGTATCGTTTATGGATCAGTCGTCCCTTTCCTACAGGTCAAATTTATATGACTCGAATTGCGAGGGAAGTGCCACCAGCAACCATATGTTCGCAGAAGCTGAACTAAACGTCCTGTCAACGCTTTGGGCTGTGCTTCAATCTCGATTTCCCTACGAATGTTACTCCTCCTTGCGAAGTGACGATGGAAGCGACACATTCGATTTTGATTTCTAATTTCGAAATATATGATATGTTTCGGTCATTTCCCTTTATTATATTTATTCCTGTAATAGAGCTCAGGTTCCAAAAGACACTTCTAAAAGTTTGAACATAGGCATTGGCAAATTGTCAAGAAAACGTAGGCAGGCATGTTTCGCCGTTTACCATTGAAACGTTCTTCAGCTAATTGATGAGGGAACGGGGAAATAATTTCTACTGTATAAAAAATTTCCCGAAGTTACGGAAAACATTCTTCTAACCAATATTGACCAGAGTGTCAATATACGTTAAACGAGTGTATATGGGACTATATAATCTTTTTGGATACTGCGGGGACAGAGACCTGGTTTCTACTTCGGTCTTTTAGACTCTGTACGTCTAACCTCTTGCAAAAATGGTATACTGAATCACCGATATGCCCGCGTACGGAAGGAGGTCATAGGATGTTTGGCCAAATACCTCACTTCATCAGCATCGTCACCGTCATCAACATCATAATCGTCATCAGAGATTTTGTCGGAAAATTGCTAAACGAATGATAATTGTTTTAATATAATATCGACTGCAAAGAAATAAGTAGCATCAACAACACTGTAATAAATAAAAAAACAGTTTTGGGAGCTTTCGAGTTGCGTTAAGTCAACAACACGACGGTTCTACAGTGGCAAGAAAGGAAAGTCAGAATGGGCTGAGCAAGCATTGCTAAGGCTAGGGTAGTATTTGCGACTCCGCAAGCAGTTTCAAAAAGTCGACTCGCAGGCATGAGACAGCCCTTTAGGCTCCTAGACTCACGAGTGTGAGTCCGTCCTGACGTTGCTCTTGGCATCGATTGTCCTCGCGCTCTAGCTAGGCTGTTTTCGAGTCGCCCGCAGCTGAAGCAAACTACTAATGCGAACTTTAAGACGTATGAGAAGGTGGTTGCAACTCCGGGCACCTTTGTCGGTCCAGGATTTAGGGTGGTCCGCAAGGAGACTTTGGAGTTTTAAACCGAACCCGATCTTCGTTCTTTTCACAGGCTGCGGGGACGTGTCATCGTGGTATCAGTGTCAAACTCCACCGGCCCCCCTCTCCCCGGCCTCTAATTTTGTTACTGCTCTCACCGGTCTTCCCTTCCACATCGACTTATTTTTGCTGAGTAAGGCGTTGAAACGTTGTTTATCCTTGTTCAGGCCGTTCAGTAGACAACTTACTTGCGCACACTGAAGGGGAACCACGAACGGGAATAATACGAATAAAGTATCCGCAATGAAAACACAATCTGTCACCCCCGCATCACATGAGAGGATAAATTTCTTTTTTGATGGATGCGACATCATTTTAATGCAGCTGAAGTTCAAGCATCTACGTATGATCCAATTCACACGTACAAGTTAGATATATTTGACCAACAGGAACAAAATATTGCATTTCTGCGGAAGAAAATGTATCGACATCTTATCCCCATCTCTATATTGCATTTATGATGCACTTGCTCACTTTTGTGGTACTGGGAAAAATGCTTTAGGAAACTTACCTCATAACGAATAACACAATGTCCGCAAGTAGCACCACCACCAACACTGAGACCGTGTAGCCTAAGGTCATTGTTGACGGCGAACGCCATAAAACTCCTCTCCGGCAAAGTCGGGCTAAGCGCTTTAGCCATACAGCATTGGTTTTTGGAATATATATTATGCTCAGCATACAGAAGACGTGTCGAATTTGCGGAACCGAAATTAAATTGACTTAATAAAATGGAACCTATAGTATTTTGGATGGATTTTGGGGTGACAATATGGAAAGGCACTTCTTACCACGTTGAGCAAAATAGTTCCTATCTCTTGTTGAATTGGCAAAAATGCACATGATATTTCATTAACTCGTAGATGGTTATATTTCAGAAGTTGGTAAAAATTTTTTCCATGACGCATTTCTTGAACCACATTTAGATTTCTGAACTTTGGGCCAGTTTTAAATCTCTATTTGTAAATTTATTTTAACGACAGATTTCAGGGAAACACGTTCGTCAATGAATTAGTCCCTCGTCCTCTAGGCATTTGATTAGCAACAAAAGTGCCCAAGTAGGTCTTCAAATAAGTGGAAAACATTACTGACCATAAGAAACTAGGATAACACCGAAGACATCGATGCGCTAGGAATTTGGTAAATACAAAACACGCAAATATGTACGATACGGAAATTCCAAGCAAAGGTTTGGCAAGACTGACTTATGTGTACGTGTAGCCTGATCCTTGATTCGGCTTGCTTGTTTATTTGATTTCCTCTGGGTAAGCATGCTCGGTCACATCAGAGATCGCACGTTCGAAGGCGGTATTCGTTTTCATTCTCACATTTTGCGTACGAGTACCTTATCCAGGTGCGTCCAGTATCGGTCTAGTGGATTTCAGCTGGACATAACGCCAACATTCGGTCTCGTTCTCTTGGCCGAAGCCCCAATCCCTCCTAACCCAAAGTATGAGTTTCGATTAGGAAGCTACGAGCGCAATGTGCATCACGCCCAGTCCTGCCCGTAATGTCGCTTATCACTTTTTCGCGAATGACAATTTTCCTGCTGAAATTCCCTTGATCATGACCGTTGACGCTTTCCCCTACTTTTCGACGGTCTTATGAAGGCCTCGGTTACCGCATTCCGCCATACCTGCGTTCTGTGAGCTTTACCATCTGCTTCCTACACCCCGTCTTTTCCTTACGCACTTCCTATCTGCTTTTCCCTACATAGCCTGCCAATGAGACGTCCTCTCACATTCCTTTTCGCCCTAATTTCAAGTTATTTTCAAAGTAAACGCCGCCTATTACCGGCTCTCATTTACTCCATTCAAATTTCGACATTATCAAAAGTCTTGGCTTTCTCATGACTTGGGCGGATTTTCACGAACTTTTTCATGGCCCTACTTGTAGAACTCCTTTTGACCAACATTTCCGCATCAAAATCGGCCTTTGCATAATGCAGTCACGCGTAATTTTTTTAAAGTAATCAGCAAAAGTAGGCTGTCAATGGCAATGCGGGAATATGATTTGAAACCCCTGGAAGCTAAGCTCTATTTGCCGACGGACTAAAAGGTCTTTTTTTAAAACACACGGATAGGCCGCTAGCCACGCACAAGTTCTTCACTAATCTGTTTGCCATGGTTGCCCAGTTTGAGTAAAAATGTTGTAGAAAAACGCGCAAGTTTCTGGAAAGTTTTCTCAAGGATGGGTTGGCACACATGATACCGTTTTAGAAGATTAGAAAATTCCCAGAAGCTGCAGAAAAAATGTGACCTGCAGGACCAGGCGACCTTTTGACTTGGCCTAGCATATTTGGTTGTCTGGCGCACAAAAGTGAGGACTGCAATTTGGCGCAGTTTAAATGAATCCATTAAGGCCGTTAGTTAACCAGACGTTTTTCACCTTGTACAGACATCTGATTCGACCGCTCACTGTAGACTGGCAGGCCGTGGTAACACAAGTGCGAAACGCTACTTGGCATCAAGCGTGAACTTGACGTCGTCCGCAAGACTCGCCTGTTTAGGCTAATTGGAAATCACTACAATAGTTGCTCCGACCGTAGTGTATGCGAGCAAGATTAGCAGAACCGCTTGGCAAGGTTAAAAGTTAGTTATATGCAAGAGCACTGATTGGCCCAGACGGAATTTCGATTCTTTCGACTTTTGCCGGACATGGAATTAAGCATGGTTTGAAACATTAACTTTTTTGTCAATCCGCTGATCTAACTTAGTTCAGTTTGGTTTTTGAGTATACACAAAAGCTTCCTGACTTGTAACAGTCCGTTCCCGTGGTCGGCGGCGATACTTGTTGCTCTCTTTGCTTCCACGTTGTCCCGTGTCCCCTGTCAATGGGTGGATGGTGCCGCTCTACACCTGACAACGGCGTAACATGTGCTCGAGGCCCGTCGACTCTGCGCCATCTTTTGACTGGCTGCCAGCGGACAAACGTTAGGCGCATGCACGTGCATCGCGCAGTTGGTTAGCGACATCAAGGCTTGACACGTCTGTTGAAAGGACATGCTATAACGGCTTGCTGGACTGCAGGCACACTTCCTCGCCCTAGCAAAGCTTGTCTGTCTGACGTCTGCACTGGGGACCTCCGAGTTGTCATGCGCCTCACCTCGATAAATTCGCAGCCACTAAGGATGGTTTGACTATTTTGTGACTGGCAGTCCTCGTGGATTATACAGCCGTGGAAATGATTAGATGCTGCAAGCAAGTTAATAATTGATAATTTTTACATATTTACATATTTTACCCCAAGCGCTGTCATAAATATGCGCCGATAGAACATGCTACTGGGCTGTACTATGAAGCCCAATCGGTGACAGTAAAAGAGACTGAGAATAGATGCATCCATCGCAAATTCCACCGACATCTCGCTGACTGGCAGATTGACAGTTAATCGAATTTCCTGGCCTTGTGCAGACCAACTGGCGTCCGCAGTTCTTCGATGATTTGTTTGAAAGTGTGCGTCCCCATAGGAAGCTTATCTTACACCTTGAAACGCCTTCGTATACTTCATACGCGGAAAATCATAACAGGCATATATTTATACTTCTTACAGTCCGGTGGATGCGATTTTTGTCTTGCTTACTTGTGCATCGCCCTGGTTCTCTTTTATAACACCTTGTCACAGTTGTAGCATTGTGCACCTGCATAAGAATAGTCTTAAACCTATTGGAAATAAATCTGATCGGTCACCATGGTAGTCTTTCGGCCACTGGGTTTAGAATATAATGGAAATCGATGAAGGTAGAATATGACTCGAAAATTTGCTTCACGTTTTTTTCTGAGTATAGTGACGGCCTGCCGCGGATTTTCCTATTACAACTGTTTCAACTTTTAGTCTTCAGTGGGTTAGAACAGCGTATTGACGCTCGACACCATCCGTGATTTCCATTGCATATTACACGACCAATAATAAATAAGGAATCTTATCTAATTTCCCTGGACTCCTGTGCGTTATTCTATGTTGCCTTGCAAAAACAGTCTTTTAAAGATGAACGCGCGTTATACTGCGGTCCTGGCCTGGGATATTCATTATTCGGTCCGTTTTTTTCCAGTCCAGAAGGCAGAGTGGAAATAAAGCCTCATTTACAATGCATTTTATGCCCAACAATGTTTAGTGAACATTCCTGAAAACAGCTTCCGTTCCGTGTAACAATTATCCAGATATAAGTGACTAAAATGTTGGACAAGGATCGATTGCACTGTATGGGTCCAAAGTTTAAGCGCAATGGAGACAGTGAAAGTAAAGTGAACCAGAGGAGGATGCAGAAATCGTTATTGGGAAAGTAGGCGAACTCATACCGGTATCGGTGTTTTGGTTCAGAGTGAAGATTGGTTTTCGGGGTTTGGGTTAATGTCAGGCCTCGAAGTGACTTTAGGTTTAGGGTTTGCGTTATGTTCAGGGGTTCGGTTTAGATTTAAGGTTACGGTTAGGGTTGAGGTTTGTGTTAAGATGTAGGTGTAGGTTTAATTTTAAGATTTGAGTTAGGGCCAATGTTAGTGTTAGAATAAGGTTAAAGCTGATGTCAGGATAAGGATTTGAATCAGGGTAGGGTTTGTGTGAGGTTAAGGGTTAGATTTAGCGTTGAGTTTAGGGTTGGCGTTATGTCTAGGTTTACGCTTGACTTAACAGTTAGGATTAACGTTAGGTTTCGGGTGTTGCCGTCCTTGGTGTTCCGTCAGCTAGGTTTTTTGCTGGGACTCTGGGCCTCGTGACAGAATCGCCTTATATCAGGTTTCCCTTTTTCATTTTAGCCTTGGCTGCCTTCCCACAAACGATTTCAGCATCCTCCGCCGACTCACTTTCCTTTCAGTGCCCTCATTGCGACTACAATCTGGGCCTTTACATCGCAACCGATCCCTGCCAAATATTAATTACCATCTGAGTAGTTATAAAAGTAGCGTTATGATTTTTTTCGTGTTCGCTTATGTATTAATTACACAATAGCACTTTAGACTGCAATCATCGAAATGGAGAAAGTCCATCTCATGTGTCTGAAGAGCCTTTGGTAAGTTTTAGGTGGTCGCTAATAATTCCTTAAATTTCAGGTAACGACAGTTTTTTCTCCATTATCGACAGATTCTTCGCCTTACGCATTAATTTTTTAGAAAAGAAACAACATGCGGTCTATGTCATAGTGATGCCATGTTGTTTCGTCTGGACCAAATTCGGACAAAGCCAGTTTTACTGTTGCGATATGAAATATAAATACACTTTCTACATCCTAAGAAACAGATTCCTAAAGAGCAATATGCACGCTGAATGCCATTGCAAATATAGCTTAATTCAGCTGAGAGATATGTGAGAACCTATCATCCACATTTTCTGAAAGAAATCCGCCCTCAACACCAGAATCATTTTACCAAAGGTCTCGATAAGAAGGGTAGTTGCAACTTCTACCTGCAGATAAAAATTTAAACGCCCTTGTGAATGCTGACAGAAGCAAACAGACGAGTTCCAGTTAGCAGTCCAGAAGACGAAGATGCGACCACTGTGCCGGCGGTCTTTTGAAGTTGAGCCGCCATTTTTTGTTTTTTCCCTCCAGTCACGTGAACACTTATTAATTGTATACCCCAGTCTTATTCCTTTGCTTTAATTGATCTAGTCCTATGAGGTCGTCTTTACAGTACGCTAGTACCTTTTTAAAGGAGCTTAAACCCTGCGAAATTTCTGCATCGATTTTTCGGCCTCCTGATCATGACTCTAGTGGTTGCACTTTGCGGCCAATTTGCCGTTTCTGCGATTGTCGTGCGTTGGCGTTCTCACGCTCCCAAACGCAACGAACTCACCGTGCCAGCAGTAGTTACAGTCTAAAAACTTGTCCTGTTTCTCGGCCTTCGTCGTTGGCCTTTCCACGCTCGTATCAGCAAAGGCCAATATTTTGAAAGCAACATCGCTGTTGATGGCAATTTTCGCTTAAACGCCAGCCTAAAACAAGTTGTCAATGCCGGGTTTTCTTTCGACTAACTGTCGATCGATATTTAACAAAGCCCAGGATTTGGAATAACTTCTGTCAACCAATGAACATGGCAAAACAGGAGTAATTTGCCTCCAGGAGACGTGGTTGAATAGTTATATTGACTCGGAACTAATCACTCCTTCGACATTTTGCTGTTTTCGAAATGATAGAGCATCTCCAACAGGCAGTAGAGGTGGAGGAGTGGCCATTTTTGTCAAGCAAGACTGGTGTATAAATTGTAAGCCCCTGTTTTCATATTCTGGTGATTTAATTGATGTCATTGCTGTTATCTGTAAGCCCCATTTGTTAAATAGCTTTAAGGGTATCATATTTCTCAGTATTTACATCCCCCTTCCACAAATGAAGGCTCTCTGTGCCGTTTTTAGACTTTCTCACACAACAACTTGCTTCATTATCCTCAGACCATCTTATTCTTTTGTGCGGGGATTTTAACCGTGTGAGCTTTCGGCCCATTACCCTTCTGGGTTTTGATTACCTTGTTTCATTCAATACACGGGCTGATGCCCCTCTTGATCACATCTTGACCAATTACCCAAAGTTTTTTGTATTAAAAATAGAGCTCCGCTCTCCGGGTCTGATCACACATTGCTAGTAGGACTTCCAAAAGTCTATTCCACCTCTAAGCGTCAACTGCTTACAAAACCCGAGAGGAAAATTACTGTTCGAGACACATCCGTAGATAAGATCCACTTACTGCAGAGTTCGATGACTAGTACCATCCCAACTTTTCTAACACTACAAAATGCTGAATTATGCTCTAACAATCTTACGCTATTTTTGAATCACATTTTTGATATTTGTTGTTCCCGGGAAACTGTTATGGTCCGGCCTGACAGAATCTCCTCACCATACCTCAAACACTTGAGACGTCGCAAAGAAGCCTTCTACAAACTAGGTCAGCGTGACAAGGTGAAGGATATCAATGTTCTAATAAAGACCGAAATCGCGAGACTTAACGGTTGATTCGTTAGTCAACTTTTTTCTACTTCATCCACCCCTCCTCTCCTTTCCTTCTGCTGAACAGTGGAGGTATCTCAAGCGTCTCAATGGTCAACGTAATATACTTGAACCCATTGATGTAGATTTAAACTCTTTAAATCGAAATTTTATCTGTACTTCTAACGACTCCCATTCTCGCCCAAGTGAAACTTACCTACCACCATGCGACTTTACTCCTGCGACCGTGACAACAGTGGAACAACATCTCAAAAGTGTTCGCCGGTCAACGGCCGCTGGGCCGGACGGTGTCTCTCCTTTTCTCCTTAAGTCTTGCTGTTTGCAGATAGCTCCCGTCTTGACCAACCTTATTATTCTATCTTTCAGAGAGTCCAAGAATCCTGACGCCTGGCGTGCAGAAGAATTACTCCAATCCCTAAAAAATATTTAACTTTTGCTCCTAAATCTTTTCGTCCTATTGCCTGCTCTTCTGTACTCCTGAAACTTACTGAACGAGTTGCATTAGATTCCCTTTAGTACTCCTCCGTCAATTTTTCTGATCCTCTACAATTTGCATACAAGGCAAAGCGTAGCACCTTGGATGCCGTTGCTTTAGTTGTCCATTCAGCTTTGAGAGACTTAGACATGGGATGCCATGCATATGCATGTGTTTTTCTCGTCTACTCATCCGCCTTCAACACTAATCCGCGCCTACTCCTACTGACCAAAGCAGCTGCGTGTGACGCTCTGAGCTGGGTTGTTTCTTGGCTTAGAGATTATTTTTCCTTCCGCACACAGTTTGTCGTGTCGGGAAAGAGAAAATCTTCTATTCTTCCAAATAATCGTGGAGTTCTACAAGGTTCCATCTTATCCCCTCATTTTTTCTCTCTACATACTGATGAGTTGAGATCGCCAAACGACTGCCTGTATGTTAGGTACGCCGATGACATGGTCGTAGGTTACCCACTCAAACACCTGACCCATTTGCAGTCTTTAAAGGATGACTTAGATCATGCCTCCGCATGGTCGTCGAATACCAGACTCCTACTCAACAATCAGAAATCAGTACAGTGTGTGTTTCACCTGCGACACTCTCCCATTCCTGAACCTTTGGATATTCTTCCCAATGAGGTATCCTCTTTCCGGTACCTAGGTGTAACTTTGTCCTCAAATATCTCTTTCTCTCTTCATATAGAAACCCTTTTAACAAAAATTCAATAACTTGTTTATTACGTTCGTCGTCTACGTTCATATCACACACCCCAGTCCTTAATCTGGCGATTCATAGATGGCTGTATTCTTCCACTCATTTTTTATTGTTCACCAGTTATTTTTCCAGCTTTACTTAAAAAAAGATCTAATTATTTTTAAACGTGTCATTCGAATGCTCGCCTCTGCTGCTGGTGTTTCCTATCATCTTTTAGTTGATATCATCGTGCGGCGACACTTCAAGTCGGTGGGGCAATTCGCTGACCGAATTCTGAATGACACCGTCCATCCCCTTCCTAATGAGTTAATGGCTGCGAAATCCATACGCCCCATGCGTCGATGCCTCCGCCATATCCCTTGTCGCACTTCGGCTTATCAGAATTCCATACTGCCATTTATAGCCCGGCATCTCACCTGCAAAGATGTTGAAAAACAAAAGCTAAAACTTGATCTTGCACATTTAAGTCCCTTTTCTTCATATATAATTATGTCCACCTGTCTGTCCAAAACCCGTTAATCTCCATGGTAATCACTGTGTACTGGAGAACCGTTTTTGCTTAAAGTTGTGAATGTTATTTTCAAAATAAAGCATTCCTCTCTCTCTCTCAAAGGATCGCTAGTATAGATGGGTGTCAAGGGGCAGGGCAGATCTAAAAGTGAAAGGATCAGAAGACGAGGATGCGACTACTGGAACAAGAAATTAATTGACCTGAAGTTTCGGATTCTCACTCGAACCCATCATCAGAGACAGTCGCAGGTATGGGTAATGGTGGCACAAGGAGTGCAGTATTAGTAGCACGTGACTGCCGGGGGACCATATGCGCACTGTAATTAGCAGCTCTCGCAATCACGACTCGACGGTTGGAGACATTTGCCCTTCGAGAGTCGTCTACATATGCGCAGATTCGATTTCTGCAGAGGTGTCTCGACAACAGTGTGCTACCGAAGTGTGTTTCATACAAACCCCCGGTTAACACAGAGCTGGCGAGACGCGCAGTACTTTAACACGGCCGACGGATGATCCGAATTCTCCGTCAAGACTGTCACACACGGATTCGTAAATACCGTCGGGGGATTGACCAAGAGAAGGCAAGGTACTACGATATTATGGGCGAGAACAGCACGAAACCGCTTCAGCAGGGGCTGGCCGAACGAACCCGCAAACATAAAGCGACTAGCAACGTAGCCCAAGAGAGCCAATTTCGTAAGCTGCCTGCTCCAATGTCATTCAAAAACGACAAACTGATGCACAACCTGTCCATGTGAACAGATTTTTACGCTGTTCTGGTTAACCCCATCCGCAAAACGCCTTTTCTCTACCATACACACATTGGAGTTAGTCTGAGTTCTGTTTTCACTTCCACGACCAGATGGGCCAGTCACGCCAATTTTTTAAACTAATCAGCAAATATGGCCTTTTGTACGGTTCGACTACTGAGGTGTGAGAAGGAAATAAGATTTGAACCCCTGGAATTTAAGCACTCTCTAAAACCTAATGACAAGTTCTTTTTAGAATTACCGTTAGTCGGTTAACCACGCATAAGTTATTCCATCAACTGTTGGCCATTTTTGCCCAGTAATAATGTTATCGACAGACAGGCTTGTCTCTGGAAATTTTCCTCAGAAATGGGTTGGCACATATTATGCCTGTATAATAGATTAGAAAATTCCCAGAAGCAGCAGAAAGCAATGTGACCTGCAGGACCGGGTGGCCTTTTGACTTACCCTTGCATATTTGGTTGTCTGGCGCTTAAAAGTGAAGACTGCAGTTTGGCGCAATTTAAATGAACCCATTAAGCCCGTTAGTTTGCCAGACGTTTTTCACCTTGTACAGAAACCTGAATCGACGACTCACTGTAGGCTGGCGGGTCGTGGTAAGACAAGTGCGAAACGCGATTTGGCATCAAGCGTGAAAACGACTTCGTTCTCAGGCATCGCCTGTTTAGGCAAGTAGGAAATCATTACAGTAGTTGTTCCGACCGTAGTGTATGCGAGCAAGATAAGCATAAACACTTGGCGAGGTTACGAGTGAGTTATATGCAAGAGCACTGATTAGCCCAGACAGCATTTTAGCTCATTCGATTACGGTCAGGCATGGGGTCAATCCGCTGATCTAACTTAGTTCAGTTTGGTTTTTGAGTATACACAAAAGCTTCCTGACTTGTGACAGTCCGTTCCCGTGGTCGGCGGCGATACCTGTTGCTCTCTTTGCTTCCAGGTTGTCTCGCGTCCCCTGTCAATGGGTGGATGGTGCCGCGCTACACCTGGCAACAGCGTAGCCTGAACTCGAGGCCAGTCGACTCTGCGCCCTCTTTTGACTGGCTGCCAGCGGACAAACGTTAGGCGCATGCACGTGATTCGCGCAGTTGGTCGGCGACATCAACGCTTGACAAGTCTGTTAAAAGGACATGCTCTACCTGCTTGCTGGACTGCAAACACACTTCCCTGCCTCAGCAAATCTTGTCTATCTCCCGTCTGCACTGGGAACCTACGAGTTGTCAGGCACCTCAGCAGCCAGTAGGCGTGGTGTGACTATTTTGCGACTGGCAGTCCTCATGGATAAAACAGCAGTGTGAATGATTAGAAGCTGCAAGCAAATTAATAATTGATAATATTTTCATATTTACATCTTTTACCTCAAGCGCTGTCATAAGTAAACGTCGATAGAACATGCTTCTGGGCTGTACTATGAAGCCCATTCGGTGTCAGTAAAAGACATTGGGAATTGATGCATCCATCGAAAATTCGACGGACATTTCGCTGACTGGCGGATTGACAGTTCATCGAATTAAAAATGGGGAAGCAAACATGCCCAAGGATTTCGAAAATCGAAAATCGAAAGGGCTCAGGTCTACCAGGGCAAGCTGAGATTAACAACATGGTCTAACTGTGTACATAGGTCTGGTTTCTCCCTCCGTATATAGGCTGCCTCCAGGTAGCGCAATAGCCGAGTAGTTCGTGCTCGAACTAATAGTCGGAAAGACGTTTTGGGGTCAACCGAATGGCCACTATCAAGGAGATGTTTTGTAATAGAAGGTCGGGGAGTCTTATTCTCCTGCTTTAGAAGCCATTTAGGCAGCTGCTCAACTGCTCGGGCTGCCAGTTGCCTTTGCGTTCGCCCAATGCACTTGCATTCACAAGTGCACGTAAATTCGTAGACACAATTTGACGTGGCGTGCAATGGTAAGGCATCCTTCGCCCGTGGAACTTCGATAGACTTATTGCATTTTGAAGTTACCATTTTATCTATTAGTCTACGCGCAGTATACGTTGACCTTGCTGTTGTACATTGATTTTCTATGTCGAAATCCAAACCTCTGTACCTTTCTCATTTGTTACTTCTGTTATGCAACGACAGGCTGCAGTTGAGAAGCCGTCGCGAAATTTTGTGATACCATTAAATTCTGCTGTCCTTTAAATTTATTCCGGAAAAATATTGCTTCAAACTAGCGTATGTTTTCCTACTAAGTGTCTGCACTAAACAGTTTAAAAAGTGGAGCATTCTGTCTTATATCAATCCCTCAGATATTACCAATAAAAGATATTCGGCTAAAGAAAGGCATACACTGATTTCGGCGAATATTATTTTTCACGATGCATTAGGTGCTGCGGTTAATCTTCTTGAAAATGAAAGATTAATGTGATATAATGAGTTTTGCGTTTCGGATGTCGATCGACGACAAAACATTGACTACTTCGGTGTGAAAACTAAATTGCTGATCATATGTGTGCATCTGATTGTAATAATACTCTCAAAGCCGATCTGTGGCACTTTCCAAAATTAGGTTCCACGCAGAAATAATCGCCACCATACAACGTATCCCTATTGCATATCGGTAGATAGAATCAAAGCCCTCACCTTACTCCAAAAAAGCAAGGGCGACTATAGAGAACGTTGTTCTCAAATCGGTCGATTCTGTCCCGCAAATAAACTACATGTATGGCAGTTTCTGAAGCAAATTAAAAAACTAATAGCTATTTACATAAGGTGAAGTCAATGCTGTGTCTCGAGTTCGGTCATCTTGCATATTTCAGTCTACATTGTGGACGCAGTCAAGCTCGACTAACAGCCTTGAAATAAATCGTTCGTGTAGATCCTATTGTGCATCAGCATCCGTTAATTGCGTAAGAATTAAAGGTCGTTTTTTGGCTCCGTTTTTGTTTTCGTTTTTACAAAGAGCACGTTAACAAGGATGTGAGCTGTTTTCCGCAAAGGGTCGGATGTACAGCCTCCTCAATGCACTGACATCCAAAGGCACTTAGGCCTCATTCTTATTTATAAACTCGGTCATGTTCATGACGAGAGTTAAGCGTCCTTTACCAGCGAGGACGACGGTACCTTTCAGCCATCGTATTTTCATATGTTATCAATCCGCTGCTTAGGACGTCAGTATCTGCAGCTTGTGCCGTAGGAGTAATTACGAGTCTCTTCGTTCACATTGGGCTCTCGGTCCATGTTTGTCGTAGGAGTTAACCAAAGAATGAAATTAAGTCATCTGGGTGAGCATTGCTCATCACTTAATGGAACAGGCAGACAAAAACCCATCGATCAAAGATTACTTCTGTGGATTTTCAATTATAGATTGAGTTTAATTCTATTTGGGTCAAGTTACCAGCCCAACCTACAGCAACGTCTAGAATCCGCCAAATCTGATACAGTAGGCCAAATGCCCAAACGGGATTTCTTAAGTAATTCACCAGATGACTACCAGGTTCACGTAAGTATATTTTTCTGCCCTCGTAGAGTCTAAAGGATTTTAATTTAGCCCTCTGTCACCCGTCGGGTTTAAGTCAATTTTAAGTCAGTTTAATTACGATTGTGATTGAACTCAGGTCCCCTTGTTAAATCCTGTAGCTCAGGTGGCTAGAGCGTTGATCTAACTCAAGCAATTCCCTAGCTGTCGTGGATTAGATTCCCACTTAGCCGTCGAGTTTTAACAGTTGGGTCAATATGGATCATTCCAAAATCTGTCAAAACATCTTTGTATTATAGACTGCTCGGATTATTGTGCAACATAATGCGCATATCTGCAATATACTGGGAGCGATCACCCAACGTGGATACAAGTGAATGGGTGAAGTGATCACGAGATCGGTGGTGTATTGTTCTAAGATTCCGGAAGCATCACTGCGTTTTTAATGATGACGGTCAGTCTACTGTTCCGGCAGTTATAGGAGTTATCGTTGTCGTCACTGCGGTGGAATGGGATGGAAAAGCCGCCAATTTTACGCCAACTATGATGCTAATATTAGCAATGTCAGCAATTCTTCGTGCGTCGGTCTCCTTGGCGATGGCTCCTGTTTGGTTCACAATACAAGACATCACGATCAAATCCGGGGCTGCTATCATATTCCTCAATCCTGCATTCATAGGACTCTTTTCCTCACAATCTTAGTCCAAAGGACTCCTCCCCAAAACTCATTCGACATCTACGTTCATAACTGAACCTCCATCCAAGACGAAATGCCGCCCAAAGGTGCTTTGTGCATGATGACTGCAGGGTAGCCGTAATTGACGGCTTCAGTATTTCTCGGTCCTCGCAAAAATCTGTCTCTGTATTTTTTCACAAAAAAGTCTTTTTTCCTGCTGGAGCAGGCGAACCTTCGAGAGGCATTCTATCAGAATCAGACCAAAATGACTAAAGAATGCAGCAACTAAGGATGCGCAAAATAAGTAAAAATTATGGGAAATCTTTTTATAAACATAGAGACCAGAAAAACTTCACAGCTGTAGACTACAGTGCACTTTATGCAAAAAAGACCTTCATGAAGCACATGTGTCTTACAAAGTGAAACTTTTAGAGCAGGAGCTGCAACAACCCAAAACATTCTGTGCTTATACTAAAAGTTACTTCGAGACTCGTGACTACTTTGCAATCATAGAAAAGCAAATACAATCAGATTGTGTTCGATGGCCTTCAAAAAGCCCGGTCTCTGCCCAAAAGTTTTCAAAGTGTTTTTACCACAAACCCACCAATTGCTGCGCAAATCCCTGCAAAAGCTTCCCACCAGCCAGTTTGTGAACAGAGCACCATTTACGCTGCAGGTAATTTTGGTCGAGTTGTCGAAGGTGGACCCGACCAAGTCACCTGGACCAGATGCGATTCCAGATATACACCGATCGTTCAGTCTAACATGCGTCTGCTACAAGTTGATGGAGAGGATAATTAAATAATTTAATATATCACTTGATGCTTTCCGCTGTGAGGTCAGCTAAGTTCGGCGTGGCTCATGCGCAGAGATCGCGCCTTGCAAACCTCCTTACATCGGTCGAACGCTGGTAAAAGACTTTTTCCGAAAGACCTCCATTTGGCTCCATTTATTTTAATTTCTGGAAGGTCTTTGATTGCGTTTCACATAGGCACATCATCCAACAGCTGTCGGAATTAGGGATGAGAGGACACCCGAAGTGAAGTGAAGATTTCATAACTGAGCGTAAACAAAAGGTTACTGCAGATGTCTGGTTTTCAGAAAAGGGGGCCTGCTAAAAGTAAAGTCTCAGAGGGACCAGTACTTGGGCATTGTAATTGACTTACAGTAGTTGTGCTTAATCCTGAAATTTTAGCAGAACTTATAAATACATTTTCGACTTGAAAAGATTACATAGGGAGGGTTGTAATATTAATTACCATGCAACATAATCCCGAGATATTTTACTTACCTCTGGCCACCAGCTTTTAAATAACCGTCTTTCGAGCCGTCTGAAAAAAGTTACATTCTGTAAAAAATGACTAATTATGTATGATTATTTCTCTTTGGTTTTCGATGTCCCTATAAATTCCAATATATTTCATAAAAAACATGCATAAAAGTGTTCATTCTCTTGCTCCTTTGGAAGAACTTTACGTCCTTTTTAAATTTTGTACTTGGAGGAGGTACGTAATTTGGTTTCAAAACGTTTTCTAAATTCTGAATAATTTTGAACCCGACTAGCCGTCACACTTCCATTTAATGTGTTCAAACTACAAACTGCATGTTTTCCGTGTATAAAAAATTTCTGTTAAGACGAGACCTCATGTGGTTCATAAAGTGTAGTAGTAGATTTGGGTCATATTGCAAACTGTACATGCCACATAAATAAATGCGGAGACACGATGTTTCTCGAACGGGCTTTTTAACAGTCATAAAACTTCACAGTTACACTTTCGGTCGGGTATATAAAGAGTGAAGGCATGGGGCGAGCGTTGGCGCATGAATCCGAACTCCGACAAATGTGCTGTGATGCATATGCAATCAACGGTAGGAAGAGGAGATTTGCCGTTACGACAGGGTAACTTGGAAAAACAACCAATAAAAACAGTACGTTCGCAAAAAACTTTGGAGCATTCGTTAAACACGATCTA